TCGCGGAAATTTAATTTTAGCTAATTTATTACTAAAAGACAGTAATTAATTATTTATTTGAAGTACTAAAAGTATTGCATAGCAGTGCTTTTAATACTTAAAATAAGTCATTAATTACTGTCTTTTAATATTAACCAATATTAGACTTCTATCTAAAAAATTACGGTCGACACTTTACTTAAGTAATATTATAATATTAACTTATTTTTAAAAAACAACTTCGGTAAAAACTTCGGTTCTAAAACTTACTAAATTCTTAGATCCACAGAACAATTTTGAGACTGTGGATCTTTGGATCTAAGAATTTAAAGTACGCCAAGGATATACTTACAGTATTCAATATTCGAGAACAAAGAAACTTCAATAACCGATATAATACTTGGAAAAAAAATATCAAACGAATTTAAATAGAACAAAATTTAGAAACATAAAACTATAGATTACGAATCTTAATAGGATCGTATGTTACATTTTTATGTAGGAATCTAAGGATTTAAGGATCTAAGGAGAATAAATCATAAAAAATGGAAACTCCTTCAAAGTACTGAACAGTTTCCAATACGTGACTTCAATAACTTCCCGCGACTCTTCTATTTTTAACTTAAATAATTTATTTTAAAAGAATCGATAATCGTTAAGAGTTTCCGTTAATATTAGATAAAGAATATTATTATATTATTATTCGCATTTAAAGTGAATAAATAATTTTTATAAAACTCAAAATTTAATCACGATTTAAGACAATCGCTCTTAAAGATGATAAAAATAAAAAGTATGTCGATAAAAAAATTAATTTTAAAAGGATAATTTCTTCATAACTGTTCTGAACGCATTTAAAATATCAATTTCACTGAAAATAATGAATGAATAAATCTATATAGGAAGTAAAAGAATAGTCTACGAAAAGAAAAGCAAGATACAAATACATCTTTTTCTTCATTAATCTCGTGCGGTGATAAGCTCATATTGTTTGTTTTCACAGGCGTGATGGGATCGAACAAGATCATTTTATCGATCGCAATATATTGCGATGAGACTGTAAGAAAAAGAGATATACACAGAGAACAGTGATAGAACGAACGAGTAAGAGGCTGGTGTTGAATAGTGGGAAAGACTTTACGCGCCAGTTTCTTCCGTGTTGCAGAAGCGACGGCGAGGGCGACGGAGGGGTCAGGAGAAGTGGAGTACCGTTGTTTTCATTCCCATTGAGGCCAGTTTGTGTCAAGGCTGCTTTTCCACGGTGCCAAGTCGTGTGCGGATATGCGGTATTACGAGGTGCAGCGCGCGTTTCAACTTTGTGAAACGTTGCTATTTGGCTTGGAAAATATTGAAAATATCTCTTTAAAGAGTAAACGCGAACGTGGGAATTTATTTGAAAAAAAAAAAAAAAAAAAAAAAAAAAAAAAAAAACCGGAAGAGTTACAGAGAGGGAAAAAAACACGGCAGCGACGCAGGAAGGAAAAATATACGGCACTTTTAACGATGCGCGTTAAAAAAACGGCTCGTAGAGCAATTATCACCTTTGAAATTGATTTCTTCGCTTCGGAAAGAGAGAATTTCCAAATTTTGGAGATACAGATTTAACTTCAAAATTTCTGTTTGTTCAATGTGATTAAGCGTTTAATATATTTTATCGAATGATTTTTTAAAATAATTCTTAACTTATATAAGAAAAGAGATCGTCTTCGCGCTATATAATAATTATCAATTATTTATTTAATACGTATTTCTGAAATAAGAATTATCGAAAACCTTACTTAATATATAAATTTTAGTCGATTTACAAATTATAATTGATTTTAAACAGATTTTGCGAGATAACACAATACGCGCGTTGCAAATTTAATAATTTCCCGGACAAATACGAGATTTTCTGAAAGTGTATTGAATGATGATAAATCCCGCTTATTTGCAGTAACGTTGAAATCCGATTTATTATTTTGCGAAATTCGATATAAAATGATGCGAATTATTCTAATAATTTGTCAGCATGGAAAAAAGTATAAAAAACAAGCATGTGATCTTTCAATTTTAATTATTCTTTCGAACTACATCCGGATCCTTAAATCTTTTGATTCTTCGATTCTAACAGCGCTTTCTTTAATTTTACAACGTACGTTTTTTAAATTTTGCTTTATAATTGGCACTCAGTCTACATGAACTAGAAATTGAGAAAATTTACAAAAATATTATTAGGTACCAAAACCCGAATATGGCCCCCCTTCACTCCTTTGTGTTGAATTGAATCTTTCTTGATCCATTTTCACTGAAGCGGCGTCACAATGAGATTTTAAGATTTAAAACTTAAGCTTTAAGCCTCAAGCCGTAAGAAACTAGCCAATCACAATCGAATATGAGGAGAATAATCTATGATTGGTCAATTTGTTATGGCTTGAGACTTAAAAGTTTACACTTTACGCTTTAAAATCTGATTGTAGACGTCGCTTTAATAGTCTTCAATTTTATAACATTAGTTTCTATTGTTCCTGTGATAGTTTCGAGTATTTGTATTCCGGTTGTAATGGGTATTGAGAGAGGAAGACGGAATGTCACAGCGCAAATCCACGTGTGATCCACGTGCGCGATAAAGATGGGTATCCTCCAATCGTTGACGAGGGGCGTGTCGAGTTTCTTGCGGCAGCGTTTGTATTTTTAATCGAGCCTTTAACGAATTCCTGTATTTCGCAGCAGCGACGGCGGCGGCGCGATTACGTCACGCCTGTTCGTTCGCTCATGCGTACGCGAGACTGTGTGTGTGTGTGTGTGTGTGTGTGTGTGTGTGTGTGTGTGTGTGTGTGTGCGCGCGCGCGCGCGCGCGCTCCTCTTGACTTGAACGATAGATCAATCTTGATCGCACGGATCTTGTTGTTTGTATTGGCAGGTATCAGAATGAGCTTCCGAAGAAGATCAAGGCACGCGGCAAGGACGCGCATCTCAATCACGAGGAACTGGTGCAGACGATGAAATGGAAGCAAATAGTAAGCCGCTTTTTCCTTGTTTAGTCAACTGCGCCGAGGATCGGACTCCGCCGAGTTCGAACACGATTTTATCTGCAGTATTAAATTTTAACGAATTAACTAAAAATAGCAAATTTTATCAACTGCTTTTATAATAATCGAGAGCGGTGCGAGAACAATGATGTGAAGTATTATTGTTATCTCTTTTGTACGTACGCGATTCGGAAGAAAAAGGATGTAACTTATAATTTATGGACTGCGCGAAACCAGTTCTCACGGATAAAAAGATTACACTGATAGAGAAGAATAAAGAAATCGATTAAGAACAAAGAAAAAACGATATTATTTCCGAAATATAATTATCGAGAAGATTTATATTTATTATATGTAATTTACACCTTTAAAGTAATTAGTTGTTTGAATGTAAACCTGTAAAGTTTGGATTTGGCGGAGACTGAACCTAACATAGCAACATCTCGATGGATCTAAATAGAAAGATTTTTGTAAAACCTAGATATCCAGAATCTAGATATTCCAACGGGTGCTTGACTGCCATTTTGTTTTCAGCGTGGCAAGTTCTACCCACAGCTGTCCTACCTGGTGAAGGTGAACACACCGCGCGCCGTGATGGCAGAAACAAAGAAGGCGTTCAAGAAGCTGCCGAATCTCGAGCAAGCGATCACGGCGCTATCGAATCTGAAGGGCGTCGGTACCACGATGGCATCGGCCCTGCTCGCCGCGGCGTCGCCGGAGAACGCGCCTTTCATGGCGGACGAGTGCCTGATGGCGATACCGGAGATCGAGGGTATCGATTACACCACTAAGGAATACTTAAACTTTGTCCAGCACATTCAGAACACCGTCGAGAGGCTGAACAAACAGAGTAAGCGATTATGAATCACTATTTGCCGCATGCGCGCAATCCTGGAGTCTCTCGCGCGCGTTTACCGTATCGAGTCCTTGGAATGAGATTCTCATGATATTTCTTCTGACCGAGGTTTCCCATCGCGCGCGTCGGATTCTTGGGTACCTCTCTAATTTTATATTTCCATACTTTCAAGTAAAATATTACATATTACTGTATTTCCTTGAATTTAATGACATTGTCATTATCACTTGTTTCATTGCCAAATCCTTGAATTTTATATTTTCACATCTTCAAAATTTCTTTACAAAAGAAGGATTTAGTTTTTGAAATGCCATGAAAAATATTTTCTTTGTTCCAGCGTCAAATGGCAAGACATGGAGCCCACATAGAGTCGAACTGGCGTTGTGGACACATTATGTGGCGTCCGAGCTGAAGCCGGAACTGCTCGACGGTATTCCGGGCTCGACAGAGAATGGCAACTCGCACAGTGCCAGCAACGGCGAGGCGACAGAGCCGTCGGATGACAGTAATCAAGAAACGGTGGCGAATGGCAAAGACACGCCGGCGGCACTTGATCCGGCGGCGATTGATGAGAACAGCACGACGACATCCTTTACCGAGGACTCGATGGACAAACCGGCGACACCAATTACCGCCAGCGATCATCCCGTCGTGGGCGCCAGCGAGGATACGAATGATTCTCTCATTACCAACGACAGCAGCAACAACGCAACGCCACGACCTACCGATAGCGAGGACACCGAAGAGGACTCGCAGGACGCGCAGGAGCCGCCCACCAAGAAGAGCAAGAAGTGACCCGATCGGCTCGGTGACGCGACGAGCAACAACGTCAGCACTTTCGTGCCCGCCAGAAGTCTGTCGATCATCGCGGCACCGCGTCGTCGATTCTGAATCATCAAACGGATGATGGGACCGACGGACGTACGGACGACGGACGGATGGATGGATGGACGGATAGGTAGTATAGAGATGGATGCACGGACGGACGGACGGACGGACGCGGATGGATGGATGAATTACTCTATTGCGCGATTGCTTGGACGGAGCCGACAGCCGCTCACTTCATCCTCGACTCTTGCTGAAGAAGAGAGAAAAAGAGAGGAAAGAAAAGGAGGATTCGCATGACCCTAGAGATTCGGATGGAGATTCTGGGATCCTCGAATCCTCGAATTCTCTCACTTTGTTTCTCTCCTCTTTCAAATCCTTCCCGCATCTTGCCCACGGTCTCGTTATATCTCGTTTCTTTACGCTCCTCCCGTTCTGGTAACGATTTTTACCAAGTGACCGGACGAGTTCGTATCCTCGTCTGACGACTGCTGGATTCTCGCCGTTGTTGTTGTTGTTCGGACAATCTCGCGCGTTCACACAATGTCAACAAGAGTTTTGCACCACCTTTTGATTATGGATCTCCTGTATAAAGTATGTTGGAGCGGACGAGGAAACGTGAAAGTATATACTCAGTGTTGTTAGAAATAAAGGACCTTTCACGAATCTAGTGATAAGCCTTTGTATCCCTGGCACTTTTGACGGGTTTTTAATTGTCTTTCGTTTTTTTTTCTTTTTTTTTTTTTGATTGATATGTCATTTCCGAGGCGTTTAATACTTGCGGTATTTAGGATTTTTGTTTCTTCGAATTACATTAAGCATTTTACATTTTCGAATTTGACAAGATTTAAAGGCTTGAAGAAATTGAGGATTTCTATAATTTGAAACGATAAAGCTTTAAAGTTTTCAAAATTGGTAATTTAAATAGAATTATTGTGTTTATAGAAATTCGAGAGAATTTTGTCGATAATTTTTTTTTTTTTTTGGTTGAATATTTGCGTTATTGAATCCTTGAATTGCCGATTCTTCGAATACTCGAATGCCTCTTCTTCCACGGCTCCTCGCTCGCCGCTCTTCAAACACAACTGAAACTGCCGTTCTACAAACAAGAAGATGATGCAAAACTTTCTTGATACACATCGTCGATGTGTTTTCTAATTCACCCTTCGCGATGTCACATGTCGTAAATAATTAACGAGACTCCCTCGTGATGTTCTATTTATCACCGTCGCAACTTTTTGTTAAAGTATCTACATCTATCGTCATAAAGTATTCGATGCACGTATTTTTTTTTAATTTCCCCGAGGTCAATAATTCGATCAATTTCAAAGAATATTCTCGTAAAGCGATGTTGCATGTTTACGCGTAAACCGTGAATACGGTTACGAATAGAGTGAAGCCGTGACTTCATATGCGATGTTTATATGCGAATGCATATGCAATAAGAAGCAGAGATACATTTTTTATTTTCCATCTACTCCGAGCATACAATGCGATAATGAGATGATTTTACGCGCGTAAATATTCAGCATTGGCACGAAGCTTCGTGAATTCTTCGAAGGATTTCAGTTCTTTGTATCCTAGACGTTTAGAGAAGGCGACAGCTTTCAGTTTTCTCGACAATTAAATCTCCGCATTCTTAAATTCGTGGAAAGGAATCTGCGAATTGCAGAACCGTAAATTAATTTCAGGACGCGTGCGTCACTTTCAGTTAATCGATATTTGATCACGCCTTATTAGTCTCGCGCGACGTGAGTCAATACGGCGGAGTTCTCGAATCATTCCTTCAGAAGCGACAGTTATTGTTGAAAGGAGAAGGAAAAGGAGAGGAAGAGAGAGATTGGGTGAAATGTATGTGAATGAGGAGAGGAGGAAGAAGAGAGCAAAGCACTCCGTGAGTAGCAAAAATAAGGGCAGAGGAAATACTGGACACAATGATAATATTAATATTAATAATAATGATAAATAATAATTATTATAATTATAATTATTATATATAATACCGAATCATTACCATAATTTATATACCTAATGAGAAAACTGCATGTCAGAGTGATGCATGGAGTAAACCAAATACCTTGTAAGTAAAAAAAAACTTTAGAAAGAAATAAAAGTAATGCTTTCAGTCCATCAAGCTCAGTAAAATAACGTCCGGCCTGCGATATACTTCTACGCGCGCATAGTTCTTAAGAATATTCTAATTATTTAAGTACTTACTATGTATCTATTCAAGAGTTCATTTGAAGAATATTATTATCGAAATTTTGATTTTTTCTGATCTTGGAATTCTGAATTTTGTTGTTATAAATACTTTAATGAACGTTTAAAGTCTTTAAATTTTTAGCTTTTGAATTCTCAAAGTCTTCAACTTTTACGTCAACAAAAAATAATAATCGACATCCTTTTTCTCACCTCTCTCTCCTATATTCCACTTTTTAAATCATTTATTTTGCAAACACCGTTCGTTTCTTTTTATGAAAATTAATCTTCGAAGAAAGTTTAACAAGTGCTTACGTTAGGGAAAGTGAAATTATAATTATTTTATTCATGAGAATATTATCCTATTCTAAAGTTTAGAATCTAGACACATAAATATGATTTTAAAATCACGGGATTCTGCAGATTCTATTAGTTTCGATTTGTCTTTAATTTGTAGTTAACTATACTATGTTAATCTTTTGCAGCTTTAAAGTTACAAAACTTATATACGCATGACATTTCAACGGTATAAGATATCTTACAAAGTAAAGTTTTCATAAAGATTGAAAACGAAGGGTACAAAAAGTAGAAAACACGCATAAGTAATCGTAGAGCAAGAAATCCTGCGATTATGGTGAATTTTCAAAACGACGATTCGTCACTCTACAGCTACGAGTGAACGTCACACGGCGGCATAGCGGATATGTGCGAGAAGTGAAAGTAAAACACGTCTCGCATCTTCTCGACTTTCTCTCGACGTCGCTTTAACTTCTCGTCGTTGACGTCGTTCATCCTGCTGGGAGTAATGTGAAACCGCAGTGGCGACCACAAAATCACGTCCGTTTTCGATCGCCAGAAAAATATGCCTTTGCTCGTCTACTCCTTATTTTGCCTTAAATCTTTAATCTTTTTTTGTAAAAGAGAAAATTTATCAATCATTAATTATTAATAAATATTCTCGACGATGACTCACGTGCACGAGAAACATCGTCTTATAGAAAATATATTATTTTTATTTTTACTGGGCTAGAAAAGAAAATGTATATTTTATATACAGAAGAAAAGGCAAAAAAGTGCATGGAGAAATGTTAAAATTTAAACAACTCTCAATATACTTTCTAAAACTATTATCTAATATTTCTTGAGAAGTGGAATTTATTTAACAATCGGAAATATTCTTAACAATAGTGGACAACCTTTTGTCTGTGACTTTTCAAACAGGAAATTCTTTACAAGTCTGTGAAGGAAAACTGCAAATATATATATTTGACATTGTACAGGAAATGGTACTTGAAAATTTTAAAGTTCCTCGTAATTCTATACTCTATACACTCTTTAAAGAAACTCAAATCTTTCAAATAGAAAGGAATTCCTAAAGGAATTGTAGACGTTTCCTGATCTTTTCTAACTATTGTTATTTCTCAAAACTTCGGCCTTTCAGGCTTTTTTATTCTTTTTTTTTTTAAATTTGTATTATTTCCCAATAAAGACGCATTTAAAGAAGAGAAACCTCCTGTGTGAAAGAATGGTCAAGTATACAAAAAACACGAAAATGTACAAGGCTTGCAATAAAAGCACAATAGGAATAAGTCAAGGTGAATGACACACATCTAAGCAGGCCAAATGAGCAATGAAAAGTTATGTCGTTGACCTTCGTAGAGTAGAATGCAGGAGGGTGAATTGATGATACCTTGCAGTTTGTTGATTTATATTGACATGATAATTTGGCTTATTTCTATTCACGCACGTACTTCGCTTTTATGACTCTACACGAAGTGCTTTTCTCTTCGCGATTGAAGTGATTATTGTTGTAACTACGCAGTAAATTCTTTATACCACTGACAATTAAATCTTCAATTTATGCTCATGATTGAGAACTTTCATCAGAAGGAAGATGCTTAATTTATAATAGTAATTTCTTATATTAATTTGCAAGATATTCATCGGATTTAATATGGAAACAAAATTAACTTTTCTATGAATCTCTGTTTATATTAAGGGACTTGAATAATTTTTATGAGACGAACTTTGATTCTTAATTCGTAAAGAGTTAATTTTACCTTTTTACGTAATTTGGATTCGTTTGGAAAAACGTATCTCGTTTGTAAAATTTAATTCGAATTTCAAAGAAATAATCAATTTTAGAGTTAAATGTTAGGATGTGTGCACAGTATTTTACATTTTTATATTTCATTATTGGTTATTCCGATCGTCCGTCGTTAATTTTGATTGTGCTTTGGAGCTATGCGGTTTACATTCACACGTTCTTCACACGAGGTTCGATTTTGCATCAGTGCTGAGATCGTCGAAACCGGTTTGCCGAAGCGTAAACGAGCGAAGCGGAAACTCGAACTTGAGGTTTCAGCGCAGCAGACTACGGTATTCCCGTCGAGAGAAAAAACTCACTCCGATTTCGCAATATCGTCGTAGGTTTCTTAAAGAATTTCCGCTTTAATGCAATGAATAAAAATTTCGCAAAAGTCGCAAAAGCGATTCATGAGTACGAGTACCCAATTAGTCGGAGGATTTAAAACAATTTTTTACATACAAAAAGATTCTAAGACAATGGAGTAAGCACATTGCATAATTCGCGAATTTGATTTAAGTTTTAAACTTAGTAAAAAGCCCCTTATTATGGGACAGGCGCTTAATATAAAATAGTTTCTGCTAAACTAATAAACGCTCTATTGGTTCCACCATAAATTTATTGTTCTTGGATTAAAAATTATTT